AGGGTGTCTCTCCTCGCCTCCAGCGTGCTGATGGACAAGCAGATCCTGAGGTGGTTGCATTGTCTGGCTCTATTATACACAGAATGTTTGCTCATTCCAAGAAGATTCAATACTGAATTGTGTGACTCTGATAAGCTTGACAAAAAGAAGGCTCTTGTGTTTGCTGGAAGAACAAATGCACTGGCTTTCATGGTAATATGAATCCAGCAGGAGAAAAAGGCGTAATTAATTGCACTTGAGCCAGTTCAGAGCAGGAATGTAATGTCTCCCACATTTCCATCCTTACTCTGCAACCACTCAAGACTTGAGGGGGCCTCCCAAGAGCACCCTCAGGGATGTGTGAGCACAAAACGTGGGTGTCAATTATGCATGCTTAAGTCAAATGAGTAGTTTGGCCTGACCTCGCTTTCAGCTGGCCTTGCTTAGAAACAAAACTCCTACAGAACAAAGGTCTTGCAAAAGGTAGCATTCTTCATAATCTTAACCTTTCCACCAACTCAGCTGCTATTTTATGGGTGTAACAGGGTGCAGTCACACTGGGTTTTTTTCCTTAGTGTTTCTGTCTTGAGGGGAGGAACATTTCTTTGAAAATAGAGACTGTCATAGCTCTTTATGGTGGAGGTCACCATGAAATCTTTAATTGGTCTTAAATCTGTCTTTTAAAACCCGTCTTTTAAAATGTGATCTTAGCAGAGAGAAAGACTAGCCAGTCTGGGCCAATGGATCAGGCTACCAGCATATTTTCCCTTCAGGTTTTCAGGCACAGCGTTGGAGAAAACAGTAAATCAAAGAGTTGGCTGAAAATAGATACTGCATATTATTACAGAGTTCTAATTCTCTGTGTGACAGACATTTTTGAGAGGTTTTATTGAGTGATAACTGAGGAACATCTCCACATTCCCAATCAGGAAATGTATGAAATTGCTGGCTATTTGGGTGCCTAAGCTTGTCCAGTGCCAGGAGAACAAAATGTACAAAATACATCATTGTAACAGAAGAATTAGTTGAATAGAATGAATCATTAGTGCTTACTCAATAGGTGGTTCTTTGGAATCATTTTATATTTAAATGCACTACAATTATAATTTTCTTGGGTACTCACAGTCTTTGAGTCAAACTGATATCCCCTTTGATTTTCTGTTAGAACACTGGAAACAAAGGTCCCCTTACAAAGCACTCTTGACTACATTTAATCTAGATTTAGTTTAGGATATTGATGGACTCAAGACACTCAAATCTATTCAGAAGTTGGTGTTCAAGTAGGTTTTGAGCACCATTTTCCAGCTTATCACAGGCTGTAATTTTGTTCTCTGCCCACAGTATTTCCTGTTATTCAACAAAGGCCTTGGTGGAAGGTTTGGAAATAGCTTGGGCAATATTGAGGCCCATTGTTTGAGGACTCTGACTCAGTTTTTGACCAAGTGGCCCTACTGCTATCTATCGCTAGTAAAGCCAGTTCTCCTCCCAAACAACAACAACAAAAAAATAAAATTAAAGCTAAGAATTCCTTTCCTGCATTGCTGCTGAAGAAGATACTTCCGTAGCAAATTGACTTGTATCCACAAAAACAGTGTGGCAAGATACCATATGTGGTAATTGTATGCAATGCTCAAAATATTTTAAATGAACTTGTTCTTACAAAGAAATAAGTTATGAAGTTAACTTTTATATGTGTGTGAATAATTAAACTATTGTCACTACTCTAAATTATCATCTATTGTTAACTTACATCATTAAATCTTGCTTCTTTGCTAAAGAATAATGAAAAATACACTTAATTAACAGTTATTGCAAGCTTGAGGCCATTGATAACACAGTTCTCAGACTGAATTTCACAAGTGTGTTTTGTACTTGACTTGAAATTGCTGCTTTATTCTAAAGCCCTGCACAGTGATGTGGGCATAACAAATTTTCGTATCACAAGAACGAACTCCCTTAGTAAATTATGTCACTGTTGGTTAAGATTAGGTTGCTACAAGCAAACAACTCGAGTGTTATTTTTTTTTTTTTCCAGTGCAGAGGGAGGAGTTATGGCTTGAGCCTGCTGTTTTAGTTGCTTTTAGCAAATTTATGAAAGGCTTTTGCTGTGCTCCAAATCTGAGAAAGCCCCACCCCCTTTGCCTCGCAGATTCACCGTGCCAATCCATCAGAAGATTTTGGGGGGCTCTGTAACAGTTCCCTGAGGAAAGGGGCTCTGGTTAATTTCCTTGTTGTTTCGATTACAGAGGTGATAGGGCTTTTTTTCCTTGGATATTGTTAAAGAGGCTTGCCAGCACTGTAAAGAATGTGCTGCATTCTTCAGATGAAATAAGGCCAATCAGTGGAATAATGAGGAAAGTAATATCTCCCTAGAGAGTCTGATTGGGTTTTCATCAAATCAGCCAACCTTTTCCAGTCATTTACACCAACGTTCACTCCATGCAGGGTGTTAGGCTGTCTCAGATTCTTTCCTCCTTTTAAATCCCTTGTGATTATTACTGATAACTAAATAATTGGGATGAGGCAAATTTATGTATATTGTATATATTCTTCTTTTTAAAATTAATTATTTTGCTCTTATTTTTTCAGATATATTTTAAACAACTCTGCTACCCTGGAAGCTATTCCAAAGAAAAGAAGCATATGCAAGAGCTGGAAGATTTATTCCTTTGTGACACTGAATGCCCTTTTATTTTTAATATGTGGGGTAGTCTCCTATGAATGGAAGGTTACCTACTGCTAAGAGTACAATCCCATGACAAGATGCCCAATTCTTGTTGTTAATTATAGCTTGACACATTTATTTTTATTTATTCATTAATTTTCCTTTCCAAGATAAACCTCTAAAATGAGCCTTTTAATTTATTGGGGAGTGAGGAGAACAATGGTTCCCATGATCTTCCCTTATTTCCTGTTCTTTTCTCTGTCAAGAGCACAGCGCTAAATGCACGAGGAACATCCAGCTACTGAGACAGAAACTCTTCTTCCCCTTCACTCACACAGAATTCAAGCTAAGAAAAGGTTTGCACACAGCTTCTGCAGGTGGCTTCTTGCTGTACCTACAGACATCAATAATCTGTTCTGAAATATAAAAAGATTGCAGTGTTGGGCCAGATCCTCCCATGGTGTAAATCAGTTTGGTTCTACTGACACCAGTAGCTGTCACCCAGCGTGAGTCCCTTCAGACACACATGGCAAGTTATTGGCTCACCAGGGCTACTGCTCATACATCATTAAGTAGCCCTTTCCTATGAAACCAGTACCTTTTTGCCATGGAATGAGAGGCAGGCAGGAGCACAAAGGATGCAGAGCACTGCAGAGCCATGCTACTCCAGTGTTTGCAGACTAAATCTTGCAGTCAGCCTGTGCTGGCAGCTGCATACATGACTATACAGTACCTAAAATATGGGGGGGGTGGTTCTGATTCCCTTCTGTGCTGTGCACTGCTCTGTTCTGGAGCACAGACAAAAAGAAATCTGGGCTCCTGTGCAAGTTATCCTCCTTCAGTGGCAGGGAGATTCAGAAACAGTGCAGCTTCGTTATACACGAACACATTTATGGCATCTTTGACAAGCTCCTGGACCACATCAGCCATGATCTGATTACATCACTAAAATTAATGTGGTCTTTGGATGTTTTACACAACAATCTGGGAGGCATTTATTTCCTGCACTTGGCGGGGGGGGAGGTGGGGAGCATGTTTAGCATGTGAAAGTTTTCAAAATTAACTGAGTTCCATTCACACCAGTCCTCCCACACCGCTCAGCAAATGATTCAAAGCCTTCAGCGTGATTTCATCTGTGCAGACTCTAATCCACTTACTTAATGAAATACATAATTAACATATTATAATTGCAGTAAAGATGGTTTTGACAGAAATCATTTCCCGTATCTAATACCGTGGTAATTTAATCTGTTCCCCACTCCCTAACACGACCCTCCGTGATTAAGTTTCATAAGAATTTTTTTGATTGATTGATTCATCTGACGTGCCTGGGCCCTGCTAAAGGAGTGTCTGTCAGTTTACAGAGCTACGTGATGTTGTGGCAGATGGTTGTGGAGAGGCTCTTTGCGCTGTCTCCCTGTGTGGTCTTTTTTTCTTTTTCCCCTAAATGCCCTGATAATCCAAATACAGCAACCCTGATCCACTAAATCGCTACATGTTTTTATATGCTGTCTTTTAGTTGTGTGTATAGTTATTAAACTAGGGAAGGCAGGATGTGTTAAACTAGGAGGTCTAAATCCTAATGCTGTCATTCACTTCCACAATAAAACAACCCACACAGATACTTTTTATTTGATTTCTCTTTCTGTTTGTTTTCAACACAATCTCTCTAGTCTGTCATTCACTCTCAGGCAGTTACTTGAGTTAAAAGGGCCAGCAAGCCAAGTTATGCAGACCTTCTCAGTTAAATATCACTTGTTACCTGCAGGAATATATGGGGAACATTACCAACCACTCGCTTTTCAAGTCAGACTCAAACGGCTGCTCTCTTGATATGGGTCATGACTCATGAGATAATATCCAGTAAAAGGTCTGTGGCAAATGATTACTTCCTTTTCATAGACTGGAGCCCTATAATTTTTTTAATGCTGTCAGTCTCCAGGAAACTGTGTCTTAGTGACATTGTGAAAAAAACCAACAAATCTCAAAGGAAGTGATGCTGGATGCCTTCCTTTCAGACAAACCAACCTTTTGGCAATAAAAGGAATCCTCCTCTCACCTTAATTCCTGTCCCTCACACCATCCTATTCTCCAATATAACTTTTTCCATCTCTGCTTTGCCTCTCCTACAGTAGGAGTTAAGCAATACTGCTCAGTTCTGTACTGCATTTTCCTTTGTCCATGGCTTCTGTGCAGCTGGTCTCCAGCATCTCCAGAGAAAAATAGGTAACTGTCTGTGTTTGGGGCAGATGACAGACAAAGACATGGCCCTGTCAAGTCATGGATTCATTGTCAGACCTTGCTCAGCTTGGTAAAACAGACCATCCTATTGCAGGTTTGGGCACTGGTACCTGCAGACATGGTTATCCAGAGCTAGGAGGTTCTCTGACACCCTGAGCAGCACCCACCACTGGCAACATTTCCTCTTTGTGGCTTCACTGTTCACAAAATGGGCTGCACAATGAGGGCAGTATGTGAGAGGGTGCAGGGCTGTGGTGTCTGGTTCTGTGGGGGCCAGGCAGGAGGGGGACAAGGAGCTTGTCATGTGTGAGCTGCTTTGCCCCAGGGACAAGGTGAGCATGGATTTTCCAGAGTTTCTGTTCTGGAAGAGAGCAGGTTACAAGTGTTTTAACTCTTCTAAGTCCCTTGGTTTTTGAAGGTCTGTCTCATGGGGCGAGACAGCACCAGAGTGAGATAATGGTAGTGGAAGCTCAATCTGTCTTTGCAGCCAGGATGCAGCAGCACGGCCATCCCAGCAGCAGGACAATCCCTTAGGGGCCAATTTTGCTCTGCTGCTGTGTTAGTTTGTGACACTGGCACCAGTGTGGCACTGGGAGGAATATGGCACAAGGAGCAGCGTGGCACTAGGAGCAGTGAATGTGACACGAGGAGCAGTGTGACACGAGGAGCAGTGTGACACGAGGAGCAGTGTGACACAAGGAGCAGTGTGACACATGGAGCAGTGAGTGTGACACGAGGAGCAGTGTGACACAAGGAGCAGTGTGACACAAGGAGCAGTGAGTGTGACACAAGGAGCAGTGAATGTGACACGAGGAGCAGTGTGACACAAGGAGCAGTGTGACACATGGAGCAGTGTGACACAAGGAGCAGTGTGACACAAGGAGCAGTGTGACACGAGGAGCAGTGTGACACAAGGAGCAGTGTGACACAAGGAGCATTATTACAGGCCAGTCCCCAGCCTGCTAGTGTAAGGGATGCTGACATTAGTGGTTTATGGCTTGTAAGAGCTGAGGTGTGCTGCAGGCTCAGAGACCACAGTCAGCTTCTGTGTGCTGTCATGCCCCAGCTGCTGGAAATGTTTTGAGTAGCAGTCCCTTGGCTCTGTTGGTCAAAAGGTGGATGAAGGTGGTGAAGTTGTGAACAGTGAGCAAATCTTTGCTTCCTGTCAGCCTGAGCCTTAATTTTTGGCTTTCCCATAACTGAAATAGTCTCAAAGGGTCTGGTGGACAATGCTGCTTATATGTCACAGGGCAGAGACCTTGGTCTTAAAGAAATTGCTGGACAGAGTTGCAAATTGCAACATTCATTCTGTTTTACACCTGGAATGTCCAAGTGGGTGTATTCACTGACAAGGAGGGTAAAGACAGTAGAAAATAACAGAAAATAATTTACAGCCTGTCTTTGCTCTGCTTTGTTGTTTCACTTGATAGCAAGTCAAAGGTGACTCAGGCTCCAGCCTCTGTGATGGTCGTAATGCACAAAAGGGACTGGAGGCAGAGCTGCCTCACCTGTCCTGCTGCCTCACATCCTCTGAACATTAGATCTTGGGCAAGTGCTTCTGACAGAAGCCTCTGTTCATGAAAGGCTCAGTCCTCATCCTAGTAGGAGGATGCGTGAATCATTTCTGATGATGTGAAGCTACATTTAATTGTGTCATCTTTCATAAACTGAGTGTGTACCAGTGCTTGAAAACATACTGGGTGTATGGGGCTTTGTTAGTGATGTGAAATACAGCCTGTTCATCCATTTCAGCAGTGTTTTAAAGACTAATAGAGGTTTAGGTGCCTAATTTCTGTTGATGAGCTGGAGCATTAGTTAGGGTTTATTTGCCTACCAGTTCTCACTGACCTGTGTACTACTGTCATGTTAGCATTTAAAGTTATGCCAAGATTATCCTAGAGCAAGCAAAGACTTTACATGGTGCTTCTAAATCTGCCACCCCTCCCAGTGACAGATTGTAAATGCTCTGATCAACAAAAGCTCTTCTTTTCCCATTGAGTTGTGAAACACTTACCTGGGAACAGCTTGAGCACAGAATGCGAGATGAATTGAGAGTCATTTATGCTAAGGGAGGGCAGAGATTTTGAAAAACAGAATTCAGATGGTCAGCTTTTTAAAACCCTGGCACAAAATCAGAAGCATGGACAACACAGGCTCCCACCCCAGCCCCACAGGCAAACCCACAGTGAGTTCAAGGAGGCCACTCAGAATGATGCACACCAGCTCCCACATCCGAGTCAGTGAACTCATTGAACTTGACTGAAATTCCTGTCGGAGCATTTTCTTTTTCCTGTGAGTGTGGAGGGAGGGGGAGGCTCCTTTGTGAGTGGCAAGTGTACATGAACACCACCACATCAACTGCCAATATGTTATGAGGCCTTGGTAACAATCTGGAGTCTCTGGGGAGCTCTGCTGCAGTTCAAGTGAGTATCAGACAGAGAGAAAACAATTTCTGGTGCCAATAATGCAGCACAGATGAAAAATGTTTTAATATTTGAAGCTGCTTTATGGCAGAAGCAATGACAGTGATGGAGTCAATGTCAGCTTTTTTCCTTTAAATGTCATCTTTCGTCTATGAGTTTTTTCTGCTCTGGAGGCATGCAAGCCTGATGCTGACTGTTTGCAACCATTGATCATTGATTTTATTCTAAATGGAAAGCTTGCCAGAAGACTAGAAATTCTGGAATTTATTAGGATTTCTTTAAGAGGCACTTTAGCTCAACAGTTCTCATTACTGTCTTTACAATGTTACTTATTTTTCTTTTTATGTCATATGATTTGTAAAGGGTTAGTACTCAGAGAACAATATACGATTAAACCACTGTGCATGCTGGAGTTGCAAGCTTAGAGGGGAAAAAAAGGATTCTTAGGAAGGCTAAGCACATATCTGAGTGTTAAACAACTAATGTCTCTTCAGAACCAAAAGCTCTATTTTGAAATCTGTGAACATGATTTTTATTAAACAGCAGCTTTGATTAAATAAGGTCACTCTTAAATTAATAACTCTTAAATACATAAATAAAAGGGCTAAACCATCTTTATATTCTGACATTTAGTGCATAAACAACGTACTGTATGTACCAAATGTCAGAATATAATGAAAGTTTGTCCTGTTAAACTAGTACTACTGATGGGCAAAAATGTCTTGGACTCTAAAACCTCTTCAGTGCATTTATTTACAGTGACATTATTCTGAACATGCCAACTAGGAGTGGTTTAGGGCTTTATTATATATTAACATTTAGCATATTTGTGTGCTTATATATAAGTGATTATTCTTCATTTGGTTAAAAAGAATCCATTTACAATTATACAGTGAGCTAAATGTTTTCAGTTTGTGAGATGTTTCCATTGGCACAGGACTAGTTCAAACAGGTATGTTAGCTCTTGGCTGACACGCCTGACATTCAAGCTTTATTATGGAACAGCGTACCCAGGGAATGTGAATTATAGAGAGTATCAGCCCTGGCCTGCTGAAAGCATCATTCAGCCTGGTTGATTATGGAATTTACTCCAGAGTTTGAGTCTAGAGATCCATCTACTGAGCTGATGCTGTTTATTTGTTTAGTCACAAATATGTTGCAGACCAGACAAAGGGAGGAGGGTGGAGGGAAACAGGCAGCTTGGATAGCACTGACCAGTGAAAAGCAAAGTCTTTCAGGGTAAGGGGCCAGTGGTAAAGTTTATTGTCACTGTTTAGATAAAGATAATTTTGGCAAATCCTTTAGTAAACCCCCAAGTGCAGCACTTGAAGGGTAAAAGGAAACTTTCCAGCAAATAAAACATCCATCTGCAGCGTCACCTTGGATGCTGTAAACAGAGTTCCTAGGCGGGTTTCTCTGTCAGCAGCAGTGAAACTCACCTGATAAAAATGGCATATTTTCCCTTTAGTGTTGGATATCCTTCCTCTGCTTCCTTCTGCATAGATTGCCACCAAAAGGGCTTGTTTAGATTTGTTCTATGCCAAATGATCTGTTATTTCAGTCAAGGTTTTAATGATTCTCTGATAAGACCAGACTTTTTGACTAAATGCAAAAGTTGGGAAATACTGAATACTATTCAATAGCCACTTCTTGAGAGTACCATTTAAAAGTCACTGGTGCTAGGAATATCTGCATCCATGGAGTGCAGCACCATTTGCATGAATCATTTGTGTACTTTTGGAAGGTGAATCTTCAGAGATGCTCCCTTACAGCTTAAAATTCTAACAAACATTTGCAAAATAACCATGAATTTGCCCTAGTAGGAACAGCTGGAAGCCTCTCTGAGAGTTTTGGTGTATGACTGTGAAAAAGGGAATCCAAAACAATATTTAAATAAGAAATGGTGACAGTGCATTATGCTCCCATGGTGCAGAGATCCTCCTTATCATTATTAATTTGTGTTGTAGCAGAATCTAGAGGCTGCAGGGGATTTAAGGGTCCCATCAGGTTAGTACTACACACATGCATCACAGATACTTCTTGCACTTAGGAACTTGGTTTCAAAAGAATGGGATAGCTCAGGCAGGGGCAGGAAGTCATAGGTTGGAGAGGATCTTAGAGATCTTAGAGATCCAGTCCCAGCCCCTTTGCCATGGGACAAGGATACCTTCCACCACACCAGGTTGCTCTGTTATCCATCTGGCCTGGTCTTGGAAACTTCCAGGGATGGAGCAGCCACAGCTTCTCTGGGAACCTGTACCAGGGCCTCCCCACCCTCACAGTAAAGAATTCCAGTATCCAATCTAAACCTCCTCCCTGCCAGTGTCAAGCCATTTCCCCGTCAATAGTCAATAGTCCCTCTCCACCTTTAGGTTTTCTTCAGGCACTGAAAGGCCACATTGTGGTCACCCCAAAGCTTTTCCAGGCTGAACAATCCCAGCTCTTCCAGCCTTTCCTCCCAGCAGAGCTGCTCCATCCCTCTGCTCATCCTGGAGCCTCCTCTGGGCTCTCTGCAGCAGCTCCAGCTCCTTGCTGTGCTGGGCCCAGGCTGGGGCAGCTCTGCAGGTGGGGTGAGGTAGAGGGACAGAATCACTGCCCTTAATCTGCTGCCCGAGCTGCTTTTGAATATGAGATGTGTTATTGATACTCAGAATCATGTGATTTGGGGGTGAAATTGAGATTTAGTAGGTTTTAGTTCACTCTTGCTAAGTACATTGCTTTAGAGCTTCCAAGAGCACCATGTTTTTTCTGCATTACATTTACTGTACAGGCTTCTGCTTGGACAAATTATGAGTTGTGTACAGGTCTCTCATCCAATCTGGAAGTGACTGCCAAAGGAAAGCACCACAAAATGTGATCTGAAAAAAATTAAGTCAAGGTAATCCACAAAGAAAAAAATTACATTTTTTTTCCTTTGTTGGGAAAACATTTTTATGGAAAAGTAAATCTAACTTTTCCATTCCTAAGTGGATTGCTGCTAAGTGGCAGCAGAGGACTGCAGAGGTAGTGGCAAGTGTGTTGAGAACACTGATATTAAAAAGAATATAATTTTCCAGAGAAAACAATTTCAGCTGAAAATCTTTGAGTAGCTCTAGTAAGGATGTTGCTCCTTTACACTGGGAATCAGTGCCTTTAGCATTCCTGTGCTCAGCAATTCACGGCTTTTTGCATTTATCCATCTTTCTTTACAAATAACCAGCTAACATCAGTGAAAGGAGTCCATTCCTTCACTGTGAGGAGCTTAGCCTTGCAAGAAACCTCCTGCTAATCCATATTCAGAGAAGTCCTGAGGGAGCTATCAAGACTATTCTGAGAGTAAATTATCCACCCAGGAAAGGATTACAAGATCCTGGCTCTGCTCAAGATCCCTAGCTAGACTGTGTCAGTATTTGACAAAGATTTGTGTCACTTGTGTGTTCCATGTGCTGATGCCCTCTGGACCACTTCTTAGAGACCTCTGAGTTAAGAGAATGAAAAGCAAAGGCTTTATTTTGGAGTTGAGGAAAGCAGCAGTCACTGGTGAATTCCAGCAGGGAAGCATCAAGCTCCCAGTACCTTTCTGAGTGATGAACACATGAGCAGGAACAGAGGGCTGAGGGTGTCCTGTGGTGCTTGGAATGATTTCTGCAGAAATTTTCTGACAGAAAGGGGTGGGTGCCCCAAGGCAGCCTCCTGGCTCCTCTGATGGGAGCTGCAATAGCTCACATCAGCTCAGCTGGGCTGCCTCAGGGTGTGGGAACACATTTACTCTGTGGGGTCAGTCAGGATGCTGGTGCTGTGCCCCACATCATCCTTCTCTTCTTCCAGGTCATGAAAAGATGTGAAGGAGTCTCCTGCCTTGCCACTCCTGCTGACACCAGGTTGGAACACCAGCTGGGATCATCCTGTCACAGTCTGCACCTCTGTGACTAAGGAGAAAAGTTCAGCTGCCAAGATGTTCAATCTGGAACTCCTCATTAAAAAAAATTCCATTAGAAGTTATATCTTTTATAAATGGCCTATATATTATGACATAATTTAATTTAGTGCTCTGAATATATTATGGCCACCATAATAGTTTTACATTTATAGATTTCATAGTTTTACTTCTATAAAACAACTACAATCTGTACCCCTTCTAGCTAATCACAATAAAATGCTTCAATTCACATTTACAATGTAAACTAAGGGCAGAGGCGTGTGAATTCTGACTCGGGTTTATGCTTCACAGGCTGCTGAGAATGCCTAGGCTTAGCCTCCCCTGACTGAGGTGTTTTCTGGGGTCAGCTCTTGCTGGACACCTGCCAGGACAAAGCTGTGCCCACTGCTAGGAGATCCTGGGGTTACTGCTGAGGGACCACGTTTGTGGGGCTGGGTGAATATTGAAGAAATGAAAGAAGTTGGGAGTAGATACTCAAGTAGGCTGAGCTGGAGAAAAGAAAGTAACAGATCCAAGTATGATAGGAGTCACTGGGAAAAAGAGAGGAAATCAGCTACTGGGAATGCAGATTGAGCAGGGTGAGGGGAATGAAGATATGGAATTTAAATGACAGATTCAAAAATGGTTGCATGCATTTGAGAAAGGCCTGGAATCATAGAATCACAGGACGGTGTAGGTTGGAAAAAAGATCATCTCATTCCGCCCCCTGCAATGGACAGGGACACCTTCCACTAGACCAGGGGTCAGGGAGGGCCCCATTCAGCCCCATCCCTGTGCCATGGATGGGGCATCCATAACTTCTCTGGGCAAAGTGTTCCAGCTCCTCACCATCCTCACAGTAAATAATGTCTTCCTGATATCGAAATTTAATTTCTGTCAACTTTCACCCATTACTCCTTGTCCTGTCACTACAGTTCCTGGTGAAGAATCTCTCTGTGGCTTCCCTGTAGCTCCTTCAGATACTGTGAGGTCCACACAGAGAAGGAGAACCTTCTCTTCTCCAGGCTGAACAGCCCCAACCTTCTCAGCCTGTTTTGGTAGGGCAGGTGTTCCAACTTTACAATTTCACGGCCTCCTCTGGACTTGCTCAGCAGTTCTGTGTCCTTCTTATCTTGGGAGTACCAGAATTGCACACAGAGAGGATGCAAATGCAAAACAAGACAAGTTATAATGAGCTTCATTTTCCTATTGTGGTGTAATGTATTTACTCAAGAGCTGCTTGTGTACAGAAGACCTGCTAAAAGCAATGCTTATTTTATTTTTTTTTTTTAATTAAAACATACAATCACAGGTCCCCAGTGACTATGGAAAAAGAAAGCAAAATCCTTTCTCATTTCAAAATCCCCAATCTTAAAATAGGCTTGTGTCAAGAAAAGCAATATATTCTGAGTTAACAATAATAGAACATAACACTTAATGGACTTTCTCTGCTTATTAATTAGCAGATAGATTTCCCATATCTGCACAAATCAGCCAAAAATGAGGTACCACCTGCTTTTGATACCCTATTTGTTTAGCTTTTCACCAAGCTCTGTGTACTCAGCATGTAAGAGTCTCTAAGAGCAGCCAACAACAAGGACTTTTGTTCCTGTGAAAATCCTTACTCTGGAACCCAAATTCTTACTAAGTTCAATAGAGATGAGTCATTCCTGATTTTCAGTCATGGCCAAGTTTTTTTGAGCTTATAGTCAGCCTTCCTTTGTAATCAAAATGCTCTAAAGAGCTCAAGCTGTTTCTAGAATGCAGCTTGGTAAAATAGTTTTATGATCCCTTCCCAAATTTCCTGATTTTGTGAGTCTCTCCTCTTTAAGGAGACAAAATGCTACATTTAAATGGTTCAGATGTGGCCACTGTTTGTATCAGCAACCACAACTGACACTGCAATTCCAGTAAGACAAATGCACATAAGAATTTCCATTTGTACATGTGATAAAAATACATCTGATTCCACATCCACACAGCAGCCCCAGTATCCCTGGGGTTTGGTGCTTTACAGGGTGGCCCCAGGTCTAATAACCTTCTTCTGCAGATGCTGTTTTTGTATGTTTTTAATCACAAATCATTCCTTATCTATTAACCAATCATATTTGCTAACTGGATTGCTTGTGAAGACCTCTTATTGTAATTAGCATGCTTCAGCTGAAGAGTAAACAAATATTCTAACAAACTACTGTGACATAAGTTGATTTTCTGTTCTCAATCACTACCATTGTGGATACAGCAAGTTTTGAATTAAACACCTCTCCAAGATGTAATGATCTCAGTCAAGAACGTTTTAATTAAATTAAGGGATTGAAACTTTTGTTTTTGACAGGGCATGAATAAATCAGCAAGAGGTGAATCTGGTTCAGTGAAAAGCTTCATCCAGAGAAATAGTCTGGCAAATAATTAAAATTGTGTTGATCAACACAACAGTGCTCAAATGGAACAGTAAATATTTTGTCAGGGGATGCTAAAACATAATGTACTACACAAATTTCAAAGTATTGTTATAAGGAGATGGGTGTTTGCCTGTGGAACAAGAGTCTCTGATGAGGAGGTCACGTATTCCACTGGCACCAGACCTTGGTTCTGTCACCCTGTGTTTGAGCTGACAGATGAGAATGTTGAGGTATTTCATCAACTGTATTAGCAACATTTTGGGAGGGCTAGATGCACTGGGGGTCTGTCTGATAGGACTGGTACAGGGTTTGTTGTCTGCAGCTTGCAGACTCCTCCCGGCTACTCATCCACCATCCCTGGAGCTGCAATATACTACATTTACTATTGCCTTTTGTTTAACTGGCAGAATAAACAGGACTGGACATCAATCCACAGCAACAGATTTATGTGTATAAAAACTTTATGATCAACATACTCAAATCAACCAAAAAGCATCTGTCTGGCTCCCTGATTTTAAGTTAGTACCTTGTTTTGAAACACACGTGCACAAACACACGTGTCTGGATAGTTAATCAGTCAAATTACCTAGGAAGTAGATTTTGAGTATTGAATATATTATGAGCTTCCAAGAAATATGTTTATCCAAAATACCTATCTGGCATCAGTATAAAGTTCTCAAGGTTAAAGTGACTTAAGAATCCAAACTGCAGGAGCTCACTTATACACTAGACAATATCTCTTTTCATATTCTTTAAACCACTGCACACCACTCTACTAATCTTAATAGTGCTCTGGAGAGTGTGGAATGGCCAAAACATGAAACAGAATAAACCAAATATACAGAAAACTGTTACATTTGCATTGCAAAACCTTGGCCTGGGTTTGAGAATAATGGAATGACAGTCTGTCCTCTAAACAGTGTCCAACCTTCTTAACCTTTAAGTGTCATCTGCCTAGGCAGCCCTTAATGCTTGTTTTTACAGATGAAAATAGGGCCCATAGGACTTAAGACAGATCAAATAACTGGGCAATAACCACTGGGCTTGCTCTTAAAATAGAAGATCAAAAAAAGGCAAACCAAAATAGAAGAGGTCTGATTAAGAAATGGGTTTATTTGGGTACACTGAAAGCTGCAGGACATATGAAGAGATAGAAAAAAGAGTGACCTAGTGGAATGAAAAAAAGGCTAACAAAGAAGGGAACTCCCCTAAACCATGCTGTGGAAATCTTTCCTTGGTCATGTCCTGGAGGCACTAAAACAAATGCAAATGTTCTTCCAAACTCTTTCACATTCAGCTCTGTGTAGATCTGTCAGATCTCCTGCAGAATATATGAGAACTTGTACATCTCCTTGTTTTCTTCTGGCTTGCCTCCTCTTCCTCCAGGAAAGGAGTCAGCTATGTAATATTTCCTTGTGGATGTCCACCTTTCAATTTGAATGCACCATAAGAGAAGCAAAATTCTTAATTTTTCCTCAATTAAGTAAGAAGAATTATTTTTCTTCTTGCCCTTGCTACAACTCCCCTTACAGACCATATCTAATTTCTCATGCTTATTGTCTCAACCTCTTTCAATTCCAATATATTCTTTCCAATTCTTGCAGCTAAATCTCTTTAGCAAGCCATCATAGTTTCATGTCACAAGTACTACAAGCTTCTCCACAGCCTTTTTAACCCCCACTGCCCCCTGAGAAATCAAATGACACCAAAAGAAACGTCTAAACAGGGGTTTCAATATGTTGTGTCAGAAAAAGTGGTGATTTTAGTCTGTAATATGACACTATAGAGAAAGGAGGGGGCTTTTTTAGGATATTTGTCCAGTTTTGTTGAAATAGTCAGCATTGGCCATGGAAATATTTTTGCATCTTCATGGTGGGAAGATGTCTTTGTTCTCTCAATAAGACTTGTGAACACCAATGAAAAATTTTGTCTTTCTCTTCCAGAACTGGATTCACTGGCTTTGCCTTCCCTGCTCATGGGATGAAGGGCAAAACACAGCAGGAAACCGAGACAATATTATTAAGTGTGCAAAGGAAAAAATGCCATAAATATTTTGGTTGAAACAGCAGAGACATTAAAGATAAAAGTTAAATGGAAATAAAGGCAGTCAGATGGTTATTATATGTTGCTATAAAATCCAAGAGCTGTTAGAAAAGGTAGATCAGGATTTGCTTTTAAAAAAATGACAGGCCTGTAAGAAAGCAATATTTTTGATTGATAGAGATTTTAATTGCTCTGATATTTATTGGAATGACAGCTATTAGGAATTGAAGCAGTGATAAGGGATTCTCTGAAGCTTGAGGGTATTTGGATAAACACCTCAAATTTGAATGCCTATCAGAAGGTTATTATACTTATTAAAACCTTGAATTTTTCATTTGGGCTAAAAGTCTTTGAAAAGAGGTTTGCTTGGTGAATTTCTTATGAAATGATATAGATTCTGTTAGTGATGACTTTTTCTTTCTCTCCTCTTGAGAAGTATGTGCAAGCTAGGTTAGGCAGGAATTGCTGACATGCATATCTGCAGAGATTATGGTGTTAAGGACAAAAATTCATGTGGGTAAAACATGTTCCAGAAAAATATGTAGCCTTAGAATTAACAAATGGTGTTACTTCCCCTAGCAATTCAGGTTTTATTTTTAAGAGACCTAATCTGCACATGTGCTGTTTTCCATCTATGGCAACTTGTGTTTTTAGAAAGTTAATTACTTGCTTTGGATATGTAATTGGAAAATTTAGTCCTGAATTATTAACAGTTC